TGGTTGAGTACCACTTTAATTAGAAATCAGCCTTCAGAAAAAGTGAAGCATCAACATTTTCTTTAGTTAAAATCTGTTTCAGGGATTTGCTTTAGAAACCCGCGGCTCACTGACGAGGCGATTCCAGGAGAATTGAGAGGCTTGTTTACATGGACAGTCGTTACAGAAAAGATTTTTTTCTGCCGGACTAAACAAAATACGGCTAACATTACAAAATGTTGCTGTTTATGTCTGCTTTGCTACCGAGTGTCGAGTTTGGACTGTGATGTGAATCTTTGGCCAGTTTGTAGCTAAAATGTTATTTTTTAATTGAGTTGTGCCCAAATTGCCACCAATATTTTTTTTTCTGTGTTTTCCTATTATTTTTTAGTAATTTCACACATTAAATTGTTTTTTTAAGGTGTGAAACAATATGCTGTATAAGTTTATTATTTCTTCTTCTGGTAGAGATAAACAGAAGAATGAATGTTTGTTCTTTTTTTTCTCGAGAGGATTGCCGTTTTACAGTCGAATGGAGCTGAATAAGAAAATGTCTGTGGTACTCAGACTCTTTATATGATTCGTGCTGCTAAGATATTTTTTTGATGCAAGATTTTTGAGAAAAGATGAAACTGTTTTGATTTTTCTCTTTTTGGGTTGTAATGTTCATCAGTTCAGCTGAAAGCAGAAGTCAGATTTTTTTTTTTTTTCACTGAATATACAGCTTAAAAATTCTCTAATTGTTTGCAGACATCTCAGAGAGTCCTGAATAAAGTCTGTGTGCATAAAACTTATTTAATATTCTTGGTTTGATTTTTCTGAGGAAGATAATTTTTCACAAGAGGAAAGAAAACTGTAGACATGTGAAATAAGGAAGTAGAACATTGAGAAGTATTTCCAGACTTCATTTTTGATCCAGTTGTTGAAAAGTTGCCGTTTACTGTCTTTTGCTTTTGTTTCTGGAATTACAGATTTCTAGAAATATTGAATTTATACAATAAGAACAACAGAAAAAAATGATTGAGTTCACTCAATAACTGGTCTGAGCTGCTTTTGCATAAATTACTGCATAAATGGAGCATGACATAAAGGTAATCAGTCAAGGAGAAGCTGCTTCAATAGCGGTATTTAGCTCTCCTGCTCTATGGAGTCTGGTTTCTTCTTGTCAATTTTAATCTCATCTAACTTTGCTGGCCAGTCAAGAACCTGGTGTTTGAATCAAGTGAAATGAAAATAAACTTTTCCACAGAGGGAACCAGGAAAGCAATGACTGAAGATTGAGTTCTTGTAAAATCTTATTGAAGCTTTGTTCCTCTCCTTTGACTTCTTTTTGCACTTTTTTCTTCCACCGAACATTCCATCATCATGTTTGTACATCACTCTGATGTGTTATCTTCTCTGTGTTTAAGTCAGGACATAATGTGATCATGCCTTAACAATTGTGTATGAAAATAAAGATTTACTGATCAGGTCTTTTTTACCCATCCGAGCCCCGATCCTCAATGAGAAGAAACAGATTCACAATATTCCTAATTTTTTATTTTCTCCACCTTATTTATAATTTAACAGAACATTAAGGTTGTGTAGATAAAATGCAATTTTTGGTGCAACAGTTTCAGTTAAAACAAAAATACAAACATTGAGCAACATGAGAAACTATATTTGCTGTAGTCCACAGTTCGCCGGCAGCTTTGCACATATGTGATTCCATTTCAATGTGGAAACGGATCAGCGCCGCCGTATGATTCTCTCTTACCTTATTAGGCGCGCTGTTAATTGTGTTTTGTTATTTAACGGAAACACTGCAATTGAGAATTTTTTATTTTTTACATTAGCAGAGTATCGAGAAGGTTTTGGCCACATTTATAATGGAATCACAGTTCACGACTGAGACGCTTGTCTTATGTTTGGTATCAATCATTGTAACTGACCTGAAATGGGAACTATATTGTCTGACCAGCACCCGAACCGAACAAGGAGAAGCAGCATTCAGCTTCTATCCAGAAAACTTTACATCTTGCGGATTTCTCCAAGATGTAATGAGATCCAGATCTCAGCGGGGTTTACCTGGTTTAATAAATAAAGGAAATACATCAAAATCCTGTTTAGATTGCTTTTGATTGATAATAATTTTATGATGGTATTTGACTAAATGTAATGTTTATTGCTTGTTTATGGTGTTATATGGCACTTTGAAGTGCCTTGTTGCTGAATTGTGCAGTATAAATAAACTTGACTTGGCTTAGGATACGCCTAAGCTGCAGAGTATCGCTGATAAGAACATATCTGGCATTCGTGGATCTGTTGACCTCCACACACCTGCTCAAGGACTGACTGATTGCTATTCTTCTTTCTAATCTCAAATATTTTAAAGGAGTCAGACAATAAATGACCAACCAGAACTTATTTAGGTCAAATTCACTTTAAATTAATAGCAAAAATAAACTCTTTTCTGAATCAGGCAGCAGAAGTGTGAGAATACCTCATTTTTATTTGTGATTTCAGTGGAATCACAAATAAAAACTCAAATAAAAAATAAGAGCTGAGTGTGTTAGCTTCTCACATTTTGTCACCACAATAAACAAGTCAGTGCTGTTGATACTCTGATATAGAGTGTAAAATGAGAGCGAAAACAAAAACCAGGCAGACAGGTTTATCAGGTGCACACGTCTCAGATAAACCACACCTGCTGGGACTTACCGCTGGGTCTGCACACAGACAGAAACAACGGACAACATTTAATAAGTTCACCAATTGCTGACGTGCTAAAGATTTACCTTCTTATTTAATGCAAATATAAATCAAACATTCAGATTAACAGAAGTTCTTGCAGTCTGACATTTCTGTAAGTGTTTGAAGAGAAGTAAGGAGTCCATTTAAACCTCTTTATGAGTCTCTCCGCTTTGATTTGAACCTTTTAGTTTCTGCTGTGTTAAACGGCAAGTTTCAAAAAGCTACTTTCAGGAGCAGCAGAGGGTTTTTAGCTGTCAGGTGGGTCATTTAGATCCAACGCTCCTTTTTGGGTTATCGCAAGAGTTTCCTCTTAATATCCCATGAATGTCATTCCACCAGATCCACAAAACTTCTCCGTTTTTAAATCCTTTCAACAGCGTTGAGCTGGTGAAACTTTAAATGGTGGTCAAAGCAAATCTTTTTTCATCTCAGATTACAAAAGATAATAAATAAATTTCTCTCTGCATAGCAGCCGCTGCATCCCATCCAATTCAATAATGCCTCATTTGTTGCTGGAAGCAGAAATAATATGACGTTACATCGTCAGCGTCCTGTGCCTCATCAAAAATTTACTTAACAGAAAAGGTGGGAACAGAATCTATGTATCCGTTTGCGATCATTTTCAATGAAAACCCTTTGCTGAGCTCGCTCTCATGAGGCATTACTGGTTTTTGATTGGTCCAGTCGGTGTAGTGGTCTTCTTTTTTTTTACAGTATTCTTCGGCGGAATCACCTTTCTCCAGGAAAACCACGTCGCTGTTCACCTCTTTGACCCTGCTGTAATCATTTGGCACGCTCATCTCCCTTTTCACTTCCACAGCATCTGAACAGTGAGGGATTTCTTCCTCATTGAGGATGAGGATGGTGTCGCCGTTCACCTCTTTGACCCTGCGGTAGTCAGTCAGGGTTGGACGCTGCTGGATGTCCACATAGCTAGTGTTTGCGAGGGGCTGGATGGACACTTCCTCCCCATTCAGACATTCCTGTTTCTCAACTGGAAGATTTATTGGCTCCGTGTTTAAAAAGTTGCTCTTTGTTTCCTCTTTGCCGTCATCGGTTTTTTCCCAGGTGTTCAGATCCACAGTCGAGTCCCGGTGTTGGATTTCTAATCCTAAGTGTAAACCTGCAGGAATGATGAAGATATCTTTCTTTTTTTCAAATGTGAAGGAATTGGTCAGCAGCCATTCGTCGCTGTCTGACACCAGCAGGAAGTCCTCCGCCTCCTCCATCCAGGCCACCATGGGAGGAAAGTTCTGGTTCCTAGTCAGAGCGTTTACCACGTCTTCTGTTTGACCACTCTGGAAAAATTGAAGTAGGACATTATTAAAAAAGCAGAAGCAGTTTTTAATTTGTTTATGTTTTGTAAGCAAACAAAAAAAAGCTAATTGTTACCTTGAGAAGATGAACATCGACTCCTTTTATCTTCGGACCAGGAACAGGAGGGAGGAGACACTGCTTCACACTGAGTTACAACAAAAACAATATTCAATAAACTTACATTTAAAAGCACAATATGAGTTTAATACAGTTATTATTTATTTAATAAAGATGAACCCAAATGGAAAAGCTTTTTTAAAAACAAATGGTCTCAAATTTTCTTTCTAACTATAAGTGACTGTGATTTCCTCAATGAAGAGATAAATAAATGAAGGGAATAAAGAAAGAGGGAGAGTAGGAAAAAACGTAAGGAAGAAAGAGAGGAAAAGACAGGAGAGTAAGCAATGAAAAAAAGCAAAAAAGAATAGAAAAAACAACAGTGAGGAAAGAAAGATAGAAAAAGAAAGTGAGGGAGTAAAAAATGAAGGATAGAGGATAGAATAGAGAAAGAAAGAAACGTACAAAAATCAAAAGAAAAGAACAGAGAAAAGATACAAAGGAATGAAAAAAAGAAAGGGATAAATGAACAAGAGGGAGAAAAAAGAGGAGAGAAGAAATGATGAAAAAGAACTAAAAGAAAAATGAAAGTGTAATTAAAAAGAAAGAACAAAGAATGAAAGAATCAACTAATAAACAAAACTCTGATTTAAAACTACGACTTTGGCACCTTGCAGTTTTTATCTCTTCTGTATATCTCTTCTGTATATCAAAGATTTGTCAGAATGTCTGTGTTGCAAATGGTCCAGTCAAATCCCAGAACTCAATCTTGACTGACAAGCTTAGGGAATAGTCAGAAAGCTGAACCAAAACAATGTGAAGAAAACTACTTTTATTATATCAGGTTAATAATGTTATTGACCGTTTGCACGTGACGTCACGCTCTCCAGATCTCCGCCATGACGGAGGTAAAAACAACCAATGCGCTCCTTTAAAGCTCGTCTAAAAAATGTAATCTAATATGGCTTCTATGTAGTTGATTTCACTGTAAAAGTCGGCCGTCAATAATAATGACTGTCAGCCCTCGGTGTAAACACTGTTTAAAAGGTAAGACGACTAACGTTCATAATTAGAATGATATCAGACATTTCATTATGGAAAAGGTCTAACCGTGGAAACAGTGCCGCACCGTCACGTAGCCTAGCATATATAGAAAAAACTGGTTACCGTCTAGTATTCTGTACGTTTTTAAGACTTCTTTCGTGTAAGAGGAAACGTCGTTTGAGACAGTTATGTAAATCATGTGATGTGAATTCAGGAAAAGTCAGTAATTTGAGCCACACGTCAGGGGATATGGGTCGGTATGGTTTCTAAGCTAGCTAGCTCAAACTTCTGTAAATATCGGCGTCTATGAGCACCAACCAGGCGTGTGACATACACAGACAAATTAGCTCGACTCGAACAAGGAGACGCCATGAATAAACTGGCAAAAACGACTTTGGAAAACAATTTCAGTTGCTTTGTTCAATATTCCCATCCCAAACTTCCGGTTTGATAAAGTGACGTAGTAGCAAAGGGTCAATAGAATCTTTTTGGCGCGGATTTTCCTATTAGAGCTCCAACTTTGATTGATAAATAATAATAATGGGGAGGGATTTTTTTTTTTTGCACATGAGGTAGCAAACATTTTTTAGATAATGTTTTGCTACAGCATATCCTGATATATAAAGCCCAAAACCTTAATTGATACTTACACTTTCCTCTTCAGCACTAGGATGTATATAGCTGTCAACAAAGGAATCAGGGAGAAAACAAAAACAAAAATCCAGAAGTACTTCTCAAGCTCACGATCTAAATAGAGAAAAGATAAGAAGAAAAAGCAAATATTTTATATCCAGTTACCCAAGTCTGAGAAAGAGGAAATGCATTTTTAATACTTACATTTAGGAATTTTAGCAAATATAGTGTTGCTCCACTCACTCCATTTTCCGTGGTCTAGATTGCAGCGAACCTGAGCCATGTAGAGTAACCCAGGCTCAACGTTGTGAAAGTTGAAAGAGGTTTGTGCACCTATATCTACTGTCTGGACAAAACACAGAAAGAAAAATATAGCACAAGTTGTTTAAAGGTCAGATATTGAACACAATGTTAAATGGGAATCCATTTTGACTGACTTTTTAAGACATTATGAAGGAAATGATTCCTTACTCACTTTTTTCTCTTTGGTTTTCTTTTATCCCTTCACTCTCCTCCTTTAATTTCTTTCTGTCATTCTTTACTCTCTATTTCTTTCTTTCCTTAGTTTTTCTATCATTCCTTACTTTTCCTTTCTTTCATTTCTTACTCTCTCTATTTCATTCTTTGCTCTTCCTTTCTTTCATTCCTTACTCTTTCTCTTTACTTTTTTACTTGTCTTTTCCAGAGCCCATACAGAGGTTTAACAACCTGACCAAACATGCTGGAGCTCTGCTTGGGTTGCTAGGTAACGGGGCAGAGCTCGAGTGGGGTTACTAGGTAACGACGGAATGCCTGTCAAATGTGACTTAACGATCTCAAGGTCTTTAAAGTGGCTCAATTTTCAGACAACATAAAACATTAACTTATTATTAACAGACAGCTGGGTGAGATTTTTTTAGCGCTTGTGTTGTTTTTAGATGAATTGAAACCTAAATGGAAGCAGAAAAACAAACATATGTGTGTGTGCGTGTGTGTGTGTGTGCGTGTGTGTGTGTGTATTCATTTTACATAGATAATTTTAAAACTTGACAAATATGGACTAAATCACACCATACTGATCTATTTCAAAATACATGGAATAAATGGAATCCTATCAAATATGTGCCTATTTCAGTCAATTTGCAAAATAAAGTAATAATAAAGTATAACATTCTTTCTTAGGTCAGGCAACAAGACTGACTTAAGAAAGATAAAAGTTCAACAATATTTGCTTATAACCTGCAGAGGTGATTTTAGTTCAACCCAGGAAGCAATTTGTCTGTAAATGATTGTGAGACAAATGGTAGACCTTCACCTTGAGGGCCAATTCTTTGGGAAACTAAGAAACGTACAGAAGCCTCTCAGCTTTAAACAGCCCGGTTTGCACTTTGTCACATAAAACACTCACCTTCCACTCCTTGCTGTCGTTTTGTTTAACCCTCAGCTCGTATTTTGGGGTGACCCAGCCGCTTCTGACGTCCACGTTTGGAGGACTTTTCCATCTTATTTCAAGAAATGGACTGGGAGCGGTGGTGTTCACCACCACTGTGACATTTACAGGTGGGTCGGGTTTCACTGCCGGCCAAAGAAAAAAAGGAACAAAGTCAATAACTGTATTAAGTTTACTGTCTCTCTGCCCATTAGAAAAGAAAATCTAATATTAAACTTAATGGAATACGTTTAGTCAGTATCTTAGATCTGAGTTATGACAAAGACTAACACATCAAATATTGACCAAATCTGAGCTTTAAATACTCTGAATCAGAGAAATACAGAAAAATGGAACTTATAGGAGGAAGGACAAATATTAGCGCAACAATCTCTGCATCAGCACACACTGCAAATACACAAAATTCTACCAACTATTTTGGTTTAGTTTTACCAGCAGATTATTTCAACAAGACATTTTCCCCATGTTATAAGTGAAATAATTTGACAATAAGTTGGAACAGATAGTTTTTAATCAATATTAAGAAATTGTAGTCTTAAAGGTATGTAGCTTTTATTGAAAAATATATTTGTTTACATATTTGTTGATCTGGTGTTAGTTTGGTATGAGACAAAAAAATAAATTAATAAATAAAACTGAGCTCTGTTTTCTTCCAGTGCTAATTAGAAACAACCGATCAGAGCAAAGAGGCAAATCTTAATGTTGTCAATTACAATCTTGTGTGGCGCTTATCTCTCCCCTGTGCCACACTCCGTCTTTGCTATTCATGCTATGCTGCAGCTAGCACATCATGAATGCTCAGGCTAGTTAGCATAGCAACAAATGACGACAGATTAAGTATTTTTATGTAATGGCAAGTTGTTTCTCTGGCATCATTTTTAGCAGGAAGATCATGAGATAGATTGACCCTCCTAAGACCCTCCTCCTGGTTCTGATTGGTTGTTTCTGGTCGGCAGTTGTAGCTCCTGGAGGAAGTGGACCAGCTTTATGTTTTCACAAATTTATGTTTTTTTAATGAAAGTTACACAATGCAGCTTTCAAACAAGCCCCTATAACTTGCTGAAAAATTATTTGTTTTGTCTTATTTGTTCTTCCTGAAATATTTTCAGTAAAACTAGATTAAAACTACTTGGTGAGATTCTTTTATTTTGCAGTGTAAAACTGCACTTAGAAATATGTAAAACAAATTCTCCCTCTTAAGATACAGAACTCTGCCTGGTCTTCGTGATGCTATTATTTATCTAAAAATCTTTTAGCATAAATCCATCTGTTCTGACATAAATTGCTTTCATAAAGCTTTCTTTTATGTTATTAATACATTTTGGTGGAAAAGACAAGAGGGTGAAGGTGTGGGACTACATGCAACCAGGTGATTTCTTTGCACATGGCTTCAGTGCAGAGAATCAAAAAATAAATTCTACCTAAATAACGTAACTATTGGCTCTCATGGGACAAACTTGACATGCACAGCCGCCTTTATAACCAAATAATGGTCATAAAATCTGATCTGTGATTGTACACAACATGTAGAGGGCTTGAACCTGTTCTACCTCATTTTGTTCTAGTTTTCTTTGTTGCTGTTCGCTCGTCTCTCAGTACTTTTCCATTCTTCCCTGTGCTCAAGACGGCAGGGCAGCCAATAAAACCAAGCCAATCATTAGCTCGCTATATAAAGATAATTCTCGACTGTGTTGATTTCTTTCTGCACAAACTAATAATGAAGGTCAACAGTTTTTGTATCTTGAACTGACATTTTACTTTTTAGATTCATAATATTCCAGGGATATTCTTAAAAAGGACTCTATGAATTTACCTTTTATAGACAAAGACAAAACATCACAACGTGAGAACAATAATAAGGATATAATGTTGCTAGAGTCAATACTAAGCCAAGAAATAATAACAGTTTTAAGAATCTGACTTTTACTTCACTACGTTTCACCTTGTACTACCACCTTAAGCAATTTTTTTCAGAAATATATAGATTAGTTATGTATTCTATCTTAACAACAGAATGCAGATTATTTTAGTAAGATGTAGAGCTACAACTAACAATTAATCAAGTAATTGATTATCTGAATGATGAATTGATTAATCAGATAACAAAATGCCATATTCTGCACTTCAGCCTTTTTAATACAATACATGCAACACATTAAAATATGGTAATTACTGAGTAGTTAATTTCCTTTCTTAAATGTGAGAATACATATTTTATTGCCTAAAATTTACAACAGTGTACATTTGCTCATTTGTATTAATGTTTGGACAGGAAACTATGCATAATACAATAAAGGTCACACAACCAGTTTGGCAGTATTTAAGATCTTTAAAACAAAAATACCTGATCAATAAATAATTATCAACATGCATCTTTCAGCCATCTTGTCCAAGGTTATTGAGAACTCAGATAATAAATAACCATGGTAATCTGGTTTCCATTTTACTCTTAAGTAAATTGGATAGTGTTTAACTTGAAACAATCTAATTGTAGATAATGTTTACATCATTCACAGAACAGCATGAACGTCCTCTCTTTATTGTAACAAATGCTCCATTGAGAACTCCATGTTCCTTCCCTTAACTTATTACACACTTATCACAAAATTAATTTGTGGAAACAAAAATCTCTTTCATCTGTCACCACCATCTGTAACCTGTTCACAACACTCGCTTTGTGAACTTCACTGTCATAACGGTTTCAAAAACTTACCCTGCAATACAATTGTTTTATTGTTTCAGTCTGCTGGACCTGAATAAACAATAAAGCCCTAAAACCAGATTTTCTTTACCTTCAATAATTGTGGATAGACGTTGTTATTCAAACTGCTCGCCCATTGTCCCTTTTAATTTCAGTTGACTGTATATTTATTGTTTCTTTGCATTTGTCCTTGGTGATATGATTACTAAGTGCATGTTTTATTTGTTTTGGAAATTTTACACCCCTATTGGCAGCAATGTTGTTAATCTGCCAAGCTTGATTAAATTAATTTTAAATGAATGTTTTCAATGGAGTCAATGAAGCCTTCAGTTATATTTTTAATTGTAGATTAAGAGGTTGTAAAATGTATGTATGTTTGTGTTTTTATGTTACTTTTAATTATGTTATTGAGCTTAAGTGAAATGAATCATTTATTTAAATGTGCTACCTAAATACAGTGTATTCATATTACATTTAAACTTTTAAAATACCCTTCAAGAACTCAAAACCTGTATCAGATTCACGCTGAATGAATTTATGTCAATTTCTAACATTCATTGAATATTTACAGTTTTTTGCCTCTTTCATTTTTTCTGTGTAAGTCAGGGGTCAGAGATCAGTAGTCTGCCTTCTTTATAGCTAAACAAAGATGTTTGGAGCTATCTTGTTTTAATGGGTCATTAAACAACTTGAAACAAAAATTTCATGACCCATTAAAACAAGCCAGCAATTTTAAAAATATGTATTAAATGATTGTTTTATTTTTAAATGAAAGAAAAACTACTTTTATTTTTTTTTCAAACTTTTTTATAAAAAGGAAATTAACTTTTACATTTTATATAATTTGTTTTAAAATTTTATTTGAATCCCAAAGACAAAAAATTTACTTAATAAAAAAACATTTCTGACTACCAGTTTTAAAAAAATCTGCCAATCTGCATTTGTTTATTATTACTGTTAACTTTTTAGAAATTGCTAATTTTTTATGTTTTTGCCAAAGTTAATAAGAGGTTGCAGTCTTGTGGCCTTGACTTACAATACGTCATCACATCTGGTATCTGGAACTGTGCCGAGGCGTTCCCCAGGGCATTTGTCGCCACCACCGTCATGATGTACTCAGCCCAGAAGGAAGTGTGCTTCTTATCAAAGAAACATGAGTTTTCTCCTGCAGAGACGTAGTCCGGACACTCATGGACTCCTCTCAAACTGCTAAACAGGAAAAACAGACCTTTACTGGGTAGAAAGTGGAAGCAAAACTCTGCTGCAGAAACTTAAAGAGAATGTTCGGTTATCAACCCCTTCACTGTAACCAAAAATTCATTCATAAGCATCTAATCAATGAAATCAGCACAGCTAAACACAAATATTCTATATGCACCATTCTAAAAATATTAAAGTTTGTGTCTCCAACCAATTAAAAAAGATATATATTTTTTGAAGGATGTTCAATATTTTGTTATAAAATACCAAGATTTAAAGCACGGTGAAACAAACAGTGATGCACATGTGTGACATGTTGGCCCCAATTTTTAATAAATGCTTATTAATTTATAACTAAATTAATGAACTGTTAGAGGAGCCACTGTTTTTAAAAATATATGTGAAGGAATTATTTATTTTAAACAAGCTCCTACATCTTGCTGAAAAGTTACTTGTAACTTAGTTTGGTATTTCAAATGTACTAAGATATTTTAAATTTGCATGAGAAACTAGACCAAAATACTTAGTAAGATTTTGTGTTTCAGATTTCTTCTGCTGAGTTCAGAAGAAATCAGTAAGGAACAGTGAGGTACAAATGAAAGTAATATTTTAAAAATTTAACAAAAAATAAACAACCCCCCCACCCCACCCCACAAAGACAGCCAGTGGAGTGAAGCAAGAACAACGGGTGACATATTCAGGTTTCTAAGTACCAACTGAAAGCCTGAACCAACCATGAAGCAAAGTCTGATTTAAAGTGTAACAGGGTTTTATCTTAACAATACTGTGGGTGAAATTTGTCAAAACTCTTTTATTTGTTCTTCAAATTAATTTTGTTTAGTCAAAAAGATGATTCCCTTGACATTCATTGACATGACAGTGCTATGCTGCTCTTGATGGTTGATAGTTACCATAACAAGCAGTGAGCTGTGTGAATGAGAAATGATTACGCCATCTTGAAAAAATTGTGTAATAGCTACAAAAACTGAGCTTTCTAACTTTTGTACGCAAAAAAATAGTTATCAAATAAAACTGCATAAAACCAAAACATAAATTGTTTTGAAAGAAATAGATTTTTTAATGGAAACTTTTAATGGAAGTCTTCTTGTCTAATAACCAGGATGAACAAAAAAATCTTATTTTAATAATGTCATAAAGATCTTTAAGCAAATTTAAAGAGGTAATATGTGTCAGTAGTTTTGAGCTATA